AAATATACAAGAGTTCAACTTTCATGAAAGCTAACCCTCTGATAAATGCCAATAATGTCATATGACAACTAGGTTTAATGAGAATGTTGTGATGTAGAGTAGTACAAATTAACAACTTGTACTGTTTCTGTGAGATACATAATCAATCGATCGATCAGTAGATTCAAAAAAACGATTACTAAATTATTCATATCATTAAAGACATCGAAAACTGAAAAAATCTGTAGTTACTATGTTAGGTTTAAAAAAATGGTGCAGTTTTTCGTTGTATGCATAGAAATATACCTAAATTTCTAAATAGTTAAACTTGGCAATTCTTCTCTGACAATTTATGGTCAATATAAAGATCGATTTCACGTTAAATCTATTCCAATTAAATGTTTAGATATACGATAAGAATGAATATTTTGTATCTTCTATGATTAAACTGTTAGCATTGAATTCATGAACATACTCAAATACCCTTAATTATAAATCACCATTATTACTGTCTATTTCTATGTAGATGTTACTTTCTTGTTATTTAGTTATTCAAAAAATAAATTAAAGAATGTTAACAACAAAAATAAAGTAACGAATGAGATCACAACTTAAAATAGTTTGATCTTTCTTTTGAAAATGCACTAACTTTCATTATAGTTTTATGTTTGTTTTATTCAGTGACACATATATCATACATTCTTTGATGAACTACACTAACCCATTGCATGTTAACTAGGTGTATTCTTGTAGATATAAATAACACTTAAGTAACAATATATGAATGTATACACAAAGGATAGACATAAATGTCAAGTTAGTTTATATTACTCGTCGGAGAAAGAAAAAATTCTATCACATTACTCTTTAAACATTTATTTAAAAATGTAATGTAAAAATAAAAAAATAACTATTCCTATGATGTATGCAAATATCCTACTGGCATAGATTAGATTAAACTACTCGTTTAGTAAGTGATTTTTAGTTCTTTTTGCATCATGATCATTAAACAAGATCTTCTTTACAAGCGACAATAGTTTCACTATAGATTTTACATAAACGTGAGAAAAAAGTGATGCTGAGGTAAATATAGTAACTGGTCAACAAACAGACAATAAGACATGATATAGATTTCGTTAGATGGTGTGTATGTATTGGTTTAATGGAATTTAGGAATACGTTTTAAGTATTCATATATATATATATATATATATATATATATATATATATATATATATATATATATGTCGTCCATAGTGTAAAATAAAGTAATTCTTTTTTAATCAATATCTATTTGTATGAATCTTATTTCGTCGTTTACTAACACATAGAAGGGAATTTAGAAATTATATGTAAAACAACAGTATCATTGTTAAGTAAAGCGTTGAGTAAACCATATTTTTCCCTCGGATATTTCTTTATCATATTCATAGTAAAACGATATCAGCACTGATAAACAGAAAACGTTTATGGTTGTTTTCATGTCTGGTGTTTAACATTATACTTTGAAATGTTGTTCAACTCAAGACTTGATTTCAAAATGAGCACTTATTATTAAACTAAAAAGATTCATATTCTTAATGTTGAGATAATCAGAAAAATATCCCAATAATTATCCTGTTAAGTCTAATGGTGTCCTTGGACTTTAAATGGACATTTCCTATAGGTCAGTATTTATTTCACTTGTCAAATATTGTACAAATGTTGTTTTCTATTTTATGGTACGATGTGGTCTGTTTGATTGGTATATAAACAGAGTATGTCTGAAGTATAATGATTCATATAGCTGAGGCTGAGACTTGCGTTCTGGACTCAACTGGCTGGGCTAGACAGGGAAGCGGACCAATCAGAGCCTTAGATCGTTCTTACGTGTCTTACGCGTCTTTGGATCGATCGATAATTCTTTAACCTCCAATTTGCAGCATCTCACGTTACAACACTTAACTCTAATGAATATGTAATAATTATGTGATTATCAATGGCTAGTCCAAAGGTCATTGATCATAACTAACAAACATTTTAGTGGCCCAAGATCTGATTCCATTTGTATCGCATCATGACTGTTATCAAGTTATCGAGTTATACATATCCTGGCTACCCTCGTATATAATAATCGACTTAACTCACGTTAGTGAATTTTGGATACATATATTTTGTACAATCATTAATCCAGACAGACAATCAAAAGAACGAAGAGGAACAAGCTCAATTGATAAAACAAACGCAGTTTTCGACCATACGACTAAGTCGGGCCCGAAATCTGACTCCAGTTAAATAGTTTCTGATTGGTAATGAAATATACTCATTCAAACTTCATTCTCGTATTTGACTTATTTAACTCCGTTCTTTTATTAAAGCGAGTTAAGTCAATAATAATACACGAGGACTGATGACATGTATATTTAAATAATAATCAGAAACAATCTAACTGGAGTCAGATTTCAAGCCACTAAAACGTTTCACCATAGGATTGATTGTGTACAAAAGATGAAATCAATACTCAGTATAACCTTCTTCTAAAAAAGCATTTGATAGTTTCGCTACACAGAAACAAAACTTTTCAAGAATTTTTTTTACTAAAAAAAAGAGAAAAGTTTTATCTACAACTATTTAATCTTCTCATATGATTTTTGTTTTTTTTATTTTACTCGTCAACTTATTATTTTACCATGCAATGAAGTAATAAATCACTGAAAGTAGAGAAAAACAAACAAACAAACAAACCAAACATGGTGGTATGAAACATGGATCCAAGTTATAAATTTTAAACGACCATTAAAACGAATACAACTATGAATCCAAAAATAATAATAACATAAAATATTGCTAGCAAGTGGATAGAACTATTTATGGGATACCATACACAGTCAAGTTAAAGGATGAAAAAATTAAAACGTACTCGAAATAAAACCTTCATAAATAATAACTTATATTGAAGTGTCCATTTGAAATATAAGTTCTCAATTATTCTAGTTGTAAAAAACAGGAGACATTATTCACACTTAAGTGAATAATAAAAGATTTCGGACCCATAACTCATTGATTAAAAGAAAACTATTAGTTGAGATCTCGAACCGATTTATGTTAGACCATCAGTGAAAATCTGGAAGCACTAGATGGCCGTTTCGTCCTATTGTGGGACTCCTCAGCAGTGCACATCCATAATCCCGCTCACGGGATTCGAATCCAGAGCCTTCAGTCTCACGTGCGAACGCATAACCTACTTGACTACTGAGCTGTCATTCAACGGTCTTAGTGTCTAACCTCAACCAACCCACGAATCGATAACCTTATAATCCCCACAAACCTATATTGATAAAAGTAATTTATTAAAATCATTTAACTATGATGAAAAATAATAATAATCGGTTATTTCTTACTGATCAAAATGCAAACATTACTAATATCTTCTAAAGGTAACGTTTTTTGAAATATCAGTTTCATTAATAAACTAACAACCTAGTTCAAATTTTATTGACATAAATAAACTTGAAGGAATAAATAGACAATAATGTAAAGGTAGATGTAGTTCATAGTATATAACGTATGCTTATATCTAAACTCCTATTTAAAATTTCGGACTATATAAATAATACTTTTATCATTCAAAAATAATCTTGGATTTGGAGATTTATCAAGGTTTCATAAACATCATCAACAAGCTAAGTAACTATGTAGTCTAATGAAATTTATTCAACACTTGATGATTGGTGATTTCACAAATTTCTTGTGTTGTTCTTTGTCAATAGTTAACATTTCAATTTTTTTTAAGAGAACTACTCTTATTTTAAACAATGTTGGTTATGAATTATTTATTAAGCTACATGTTTTATAATAAAAATATAACCATATTGTTATGTTCGTTAAACTTGAATACTAATATTGATTCGTCTTACTCGGAACGGAACGAAGAATCAAGGATTCAGTGACTAGATAGGCTATACTGGTCCGTTATCTCCAACTCAGCTGACTCGATCCAGAAGTTTTGGTAAGATGTAGAAAGTATATTCTACAGACAACCAGAAGATACCAGGTCCATCAAGCACACAATCAAGCGTATTTATAAAAAAAAATTTATATCATCGATATTGCCATGGAAGTTTTTAAACATTGAATCGATAAGTTTGTCAATCGACTATGTGCGTGGGTGGTAAGAAATTCCCAAAGCATACATCTGCATACAAGCTCCACAAAGATAAAATTACAAAATATGAGTTTTGGGGATATAACGTCCCTAACACATATATAAGAACATTTCTACCGCTCAGACATCACAGAACAGCTATTCTGTTTCTACTTGTGAATGTTATTTGAACAGTGTCGATTGAACACTCAATCTTATTTTTTTTTAAATGTTTTTAGTCTCTAAGGTAAAAAAGATACTTTTAAACTACTAAGTTGAAAACGAATAAACCACGTGTGTGTGTTTTTTGCTTCTTCAACTTCTTTTAAATTCATGATAAATTATTTATCTTTTTATCAAAATATTCACTTTATTTTAGACAATTCAATTAAGTCATTATAAAGATATTTAAGTGAAAAGCTTGAAAAATATTCTTTATTAACTTGTACTATCTAGAAATTGTGGTTTGAATATAATGCAGAAAGAATAAACTAAAGCATTTACCAGAAATAATATGAATTAAGTCAACGAATAGAATGTATTCGGCTAATTGAAATGTTGTTTTAAGGATGTCCTTATATATAACAAATGGATCTAACTGAATAGTAACGCTTAAATGTGTAGAACAGCAAATGAAATAAGAATAATGGTTGTGTGAGAAAGGTTTTTTTTCATTGAATAGTTCGTATAGATATACATTTTGTTGAGTTCCAGGCTAGACTCCTAAAGGTATAGTGAAGTAATAACTAGTGAAATATGACCTTTTTGAGACAGAAATATATAAAACTGAAAATGTTGGGTTATTTTCATACTATATTAACGAACTGACGAATGTTGAGATTCTAATTAATTAAGAATTCAACTCATAGGTTTAATGTAATTACCGTCTATTTTTTTTGTATACAAAAGTAATAAATTAAGCTAAGTGTGTTTGTCAAAGTTGAGGACTCTTGAGTAGTCACTCTGAATTGAGACATGTATCTAATTATTATTGGCTTTATTCAATATTATACTTTTGGTACAATATAGAATTCTCAGCATAAAATATTTCAACAAGTTTCCTTTTCTTATTTCTTGATTGATCCTTGCGATAAATATTGAGTGGTCCCCAGTTAAATGTTAGCAGTTCAGGAATTGACATTTGAATAATGTGCATTCTTTCCAATGCATATTGCCAACATGATATCTCTGATTGGGCCCTTCTGTAAATTGTACAGCGAAATGTCAAAAACTAGTGAAAAACGCTCTTAAATAGGTTATGCAACTAATGAGGATAATAATGATGTGTTAAAACAAACAAGAAAACAGATAACTTGTTAAAATATCCAGATACGAGGAACAGATAGCCTAGATTTTCAAACTGGCCATCCTCAAACTTCCAGACTTTCAATAGTTTTCTAGGTCATGTCACTCCTTGATGAGTATTATATTCAAAATATAGATAATAACTGATAAAATATTCTGTTAAAACAAAAAAAAATAATTTGATTGCATCGTTTATGCATATAGAAATAAATGAAGTAATAATCATGATCAAGAACTTACTCTTTTCTATTTGATGATGAAGCTCGTCGTGTAGTTTCAAAAGATTTTTGTTGTTTTAATAAATAATATTTAATTTCTTTTTCAACTGCTTTACGACAACCTGAACATTGAATAAAATTTAAATCCATTTGTAAATAATCTTTATTCGATTGTATATATGGATGATCCAAATAATTGTATGATAGTTGATGATGTTGATGTATAAATGGTTGATTAGAATTATTTTGTTGTTCTTGAATATTTTCATCATCATTTAATTCACTTGTTGTAGTATCTGAATATTGTTGAATAAATAATTGTGAATACTTTGATTTTTCTAATTCATTAATTTGATGCTCATCAGTAGATGGTAAATGTGTTCGACGTTTTGAAGAAGATGATGAACAACGATGACGAGATTTTATTGTTTTTGTACGAGATTTATTTGATGGTACTTTTACATTTAAATTCTCACTAGGTGTATTTTTAGGTGATATTCCTTGATGAATATACATAGCTCCAGGTCCTGAACTCAAAATAGTTGTAGAGGATTTTGGAACTGAACGATTCAGTGTATTTGATTCACTAACTAAGTAAATAGAAAATAATGGTTGGTTAGTCTAAATTTTAATATCATTTTTCCTCTCTTCAATTCTGTTTTATGATCTTTTAAAAAAGAACTTTTATTACACAATATGAATGAATGTACCTTCGGAATTTGCTCTTCTCCTCCTTGGTATCTTATTTAAGTTAACGTTTATTCACATAAATTTATCAAATGGTAGATTGGAGTAAAGCATATAAGTTAGCTTTTTCGCATCATAAATGTTCTGAAAATGTTAACACAAAGACGTGTAATTATTTACTACATTCATAGTATCCGTTTCATTCTCAATGTTATTTATTTTATTACTATTTCTAAGTGTTATCCACTGTTCATCATTTCGTATGTAGGAATGCTTCTTTGTTCAAAACAGGTAATGCTCAAATATACCCATTTGTTGCAGCATGTCAAAAAACTTTATAATTAATTAAAATATAACTGTTCGAAAGTTATATCAAGTATGCTCAACAGGCCATACATAAGGAAGCAATAAACAAACTATTGAAGATCGAAGATTTCAACTACTAACATTTTGGTAACCATCGACTAAGAACGATTTTTGGTCATTCTTCATGTAGGAAGAATTATACTTAGAATGAATAAGTTTTCTAATCACTGAGTAAGTAGTGACCAACCTCATACCACATACTATCCGTAGTTAATCCATTTCTTTCATACATCTTTGCAATACAATTACTAAAATAGGTAATTCTGTATTAATGCCATTTTTAGCAAACGGTTAAAAATGATTGTTTAAATATCCTTCAATACAAATATTGGCCTTGCTTTTCTTTACTTAAGTATGAAGACAGGTCTATTGTCTTTCATTCGTTTTTCTAATTGATAGGTCATAGAATTTGTTGAATACACTTAATGTTTAGATTAATTGTATCAGCTTTCCTATCTTTTAAATCATATACAGCTTGTGCATCATTCATTATTGACCATGAAACATTTTGTTTAAAATTGTAGTTTTACTTTTCTAGTGTGAATACAGTTCCTTGATTGTTTACTGGTAAAATGTACCATCTTTCTAACTCCTTGTCCTCATTAATCTCTATGACATTTTGCCAGTTTGCAAAAAGATTCGCTGATGTTTTTTTGTATGCTCTTTATTCTAACTCCGTAATAAATCAACATATCTGTATAACGTTCTAATTCGTTCGTTTGTATTACTCAAACGTATGTTTAATTAATTTATTCTCTAGAGAAGCGTCAGCCAAAGTGATTAAATGAGACATTTTATTCATTTGTTTACTGTCAGGATTCATTAAACAAAATATAAAATTTTGTAAACAAACGTCTTGTAATAATAATATTCGAAAACTATTACAACATTGATAACATAAAGTCATCTTCAAATAAAAACGTTCTACTCCTTCAGTGTTTTACCTCATATTAGTCGGTTCTAAAGTAAATTCATTTCATTCAATCTGAAATGGTTTACATTATCCCCTTATTAATAGTTTTGACTGTAATTTGATCAGTCTTGATTGGAATCTGAATTTAGTGACTAAGAGGATAAAGAGATAGTGTTTGAAGCTAATGGCACTGCGTTGGAATTCGGAATTCACATTAACTATTGGATCAAGGTACATCTGACTGACGAGCCCCAAATGGAAAACAACAGGAAACAACATAAAACCATAGTTCTTTAACTTGACGCATATTAGATTGGACGATGACGTTATCAAAATATACATCATAGCTACTCTTTTATATAATTATCGACTTAAATCGCTTTAGTAAATAACGAAATAAAATAAGTCGAATACGAGAATAACTTTTAAATAGGTATATTTCGTACACTTGTTGATCCGAACAGACACTCAGAATAAGAAAAGGAAAGTGAAGCAGAGCTTGGAAGGCGAATGAACCAACCCGCTTTGACCAACTGTGACTCAGTATTTATAGTCAAACCAAAAATAAGCTACAGACATATGATGAGTAGGATAAATAATGCACATACACGCTCGTATAAAGACAGTCAAGGTTAATAAACGAATAATTAACAAGGTTAAAATGTGACATGAAAAGAATGAATAAACTAGTCTATCTGGAAGTCAGAATAACTCATGTGGACTTGACATGGGACTAGACACTACAAAAAAAGGGAAGGGATCCATTTTGAAGAATAATCATCTGGCACAAGTTTTTTGTACACGTTACATAGTATTTTTATATGCAAAATGTGTAACGTTAATTAAGCATGAAAAAAAACGTTTTCAAACATTTATAGAATTGCAAGTCTAAATCAACCATCCAAATATAAACAGTGTAAATGATTGATTAAAAATGTCAATTTGATAAAACTGTTGGATGCTTTTACCATTGAACAAAAAAATACTTACCAACACTTCTATCTGGATAACTGCTTGAAATTGCCCATGACGTATCCGTAACTTGTGCACATTGGTTAGGATCATATAATGTTTTAAACTTTTGTACAGATATTTTTGAATCATCACTATGATTCTGTAGTCGTATATTATTGTTATACTTATTATTATTATTATTATCATTATTCTGTGGTGTAAGTCCAGTTAAAAGTTGTCCCTCAACAATATTATTATTCGATACAGAATTTGAACTGAGACTATTTGATATTGAATCAAAGGATCTACTGAAATTGCTTGTAGCTACAGCCTTTAATAATAAAAAAAAATTAAAATTAATTGTCTATTTACTAACGAAGATGAAGTCTTACATATTTCATTATCGTTTAATGTTTTATAGAATTAATTTACTTTGTTAAGCTTGTAAAAACGTTGACTCATGTTTAATCTTTTTACCTTTGATATGACTATTTTACAACTATGACCAATACCTTTTACCAGAATCCATTTTGCATATAGCTTTGTTGAAAGTCTTAAATGAAGAAAATCTTTTATTTCTTCCAATTATGGACGAATAACTCATCAACTCTTTCAACAAATCGCTTACGTGTATGCAACACTAATAAATAACCTTATATAAACCACGCCACCATCTTTTATAAAGGGAATGCTCTGGAAATAAGTTAATATATTTAAGTTTCCATTGCCAAGTATGTAAATTTCAGTAACTAATATTAATATGAATAATCAATTATCAATACCTAGTTTATAGTAATCATGTAAGGTATTCACTGATTTTCCCGGTGAATATATATATTGTACTACCTAATAAGCATGTTGCAGAGTAGAGCTGCCTCTAAATTTGATCGTCTGATAAACTATACTATCGTTGAATCAAAGTGATATCGTGTGAATAAGTGTAGAATAAGAGGAAATACTTCTATTTTTGATCATTCAAAGTTAGCTAGTGCACGAAGTAATATATGTCCCTACAGCTTACACATATTCAGAAACGTTTGTGTATGACTGTCCCATAGCTGTCCATCAGCGACACTAGGTTGACACAATTTAATTTGTTCACATAAATAATCCGTTGTCTTTTTAAATGTTTATTTACAGTTAGTAATAAAAAATCAAGAAAATAACAGGATTAGATTCATATAGACAAGCTTCTCTACTAAATGTACATTAATTTAAGAAATATGAAATAAATTTCATCAACCATTTAATTGAATACTTCTAAATTAGGTTCAACACGACTTTTAGTGTTTCAGAATCATTTGAAAATCATAGATCAACCTGGTGTTCATGATATTTGAGTACGTTAGTAATGCAGTGTATACTACATATGTAGTATATAATATCAGTCAGAAGTGGAATGCCTGGAAGCAGAAGGTTAAGAAGATGAAGTCAAAGAGAATGGGAACAGAGGGTAATTATTATGGTAATGAACAAACAACGAAGTTCGAGACAATTTATGGAGGATTTTCAAATGAAGTATTGAACGTATAGTTGTTACATTTTACGAGAGTACTGCATAGTTTTGTATTACAATACCTTTAGTTGTCCCCACTCGTATTCTCGTTCAGTACAGTAAATGAACAGTATCTAATATTCATTGTAAAATCAATATTTGCATAAATAGGACGAAACGCGCGTCCTAGATTTCATTGCTAGCCACTATCCATCTTTGCTTGTAATACTTACAATTCATTATTCCAGTTTTGTATTAAAAATAAAGCATGAATCATATACTACTCAAGAATTTTAAACTATCTCGTAACACATCTGTCCTATATACTGTAACCAATAATTCTTCTACCTAAACTAAATCTGTGATAAAAATATATCTTTGTGTGTATGTAATATATTACTTTATCATAATAACATTATGTATAAATACAATCAAATGAGAATTTCAAAAAGTTAAGCAAAATTTATCTCGTAAGTTATAATTACTTTTATTGTCAGGATTACTATTATTATTATTATTAGTAGTAGTAGTAGTAGTGTGGTGTGTGCTACTTATATTGAGATAAGTAGTATGTGATTTTGGTCGTGAACAGAAGGTCTGGCAGCAAAGAGACAAGAGGATCGAATAGTAAAGAATGGAAACAAAATGCAATTGGCATGAAAATACAAGAACAATGAAGTCTGAGTAATTTTGGGACAATCAATGGACATTTTGCAAATTAGGCATTTACTTTATGATTGTTAGATTTTATTAACAAGTCCTGTAATTTTGTGTTAAATACATTCGATTGTCCCCACTCGTGTTTTTGTTCACTACAGTATTATTATTATTATTTGGTATCAATGAAGCGTATCAATCTATTATGTAATCTCTTATTGATACATCGTTTCAACTATTTACTCTCTCAATCTAATCTCTTATTTGCTTCACTTTTACTGATCTTTCAATTCAGTTCATTCATAATGAATAAAATATTTTTTGTCATCTGATAATAATCGAATCATTATTTGTTATCTTTCATTATTCTCATTTCTGTTGTTTTTTGTTTGTTTGTTTTAGTTTTGGTAATTAAATTCATGTGTCATCATCAATTAAATTGTGTTATATCCAAAACAATTCATTTTTCAAGTAACTAAATATAATTCTATATTTGTAAGAACATTCCATTACTTGTTAAATGATCAGGAGTAACCAATAAGAAACCCTGCTCAACTTAGGCTTCATAATATTTGCCACTTTTTGGCAAGGTGTATATGTATTCTTAAAGGATTTAACATTAACGAATGAATTCAAACTCACATCATTTAGTTTCACATTGTTAGACAATACAATGGAACTATTCAGATCAAGACTGACTGCCTACAAGAGTGAGATTTACTTAGAACTAATTGATCACGTGAATGGTCTCCAATATCGTGTTTGTGTTTTCTTTTATTATCGATCTCATCTTATTCATCAAGTGACTATGTGATTAGTAGTCTTAGTGACATAGTATACACCATATCGATATGTTCAATGAATAGAAGTAGTAAAAAATTGTGTTTATAAAAATTCATTTAAATTATTTGATTTTATCGCTTCTTTTTATAATAACAATTAGTTTATTTTATTAGAATTTTATAATCTCTATACCCTAATCTATTCACAAGGGTATTTTGACTCAATTATGTTTAGAATTAAAAAGACAAAACAGAACAATGCTATAATTCAACTGAACAGATTTAACACTTTTTTTGAAATTATCCTGGAATAAAATTATATAAATAAAAGTAAAAGAAGGGCTGATATATGATTTTGTGAATATGCTCTACAAAATCTATATATATATAAGGAAAAAAAGATTATGAATAAATATAGTCAACAAGTGTTTGTATGTTAACCTCCATTGTTATCTAAATCTTGAATCTCATACTTTGTATACAAAGGAAGGTTCTGATGAATTTGGAGCCACAGTGAACGAGAATACACATGTGACAACAACCAAATGTACTTACATACACAATTACAGAATCTCTTAGTTAAATCTGAGAACTATACAGTAAATACTTGATTTATAAAATGTCCATCAATTATTTCAGACTTGATTATTCCTTCATTTACATACCAATCACTTTCTGTTCTCGTTTTCTTCTCTTCAATCTTTTCAACTTACTACCGCCAGATATTTCACTTATGATTGATGATTTATACTACTTATATCTGTCAATATCCGTAATATCCACCATATAACTACATTAAAACAACTACATCAAGTAAATAAACTTAATTATTTTACGTACTTATGAATAGTTTCATGAATGGATTCTTCAATAGCTGTGAAGTTATTATCAATTAATTGATAAGATTTTTCACTTAGATACATTTATGAATGTCTTAATCTATTAGATTTGATCCTCTTCCTCCCCCTCCTCATTTATAAACTGAATATCAATTTCATTTAATTAAAAATTGTGTCAATCTTTTTTTTCTTTTTGTTATTTCAAAACCTCTATGATTCATTATAAAAATTATTTTAGTTAGCTCTATGGTGAATTTTGATGTTTTAGTGATTTATTATTCTTATTTTATTCGAAATAAATAAGATATACACAACTTCACATCTGCTGAGATCCTTGAGTAAGTATATTAGTGAAGTTAGATGGAAGATATTAAGGAATGATGGTAAATCAGTTGGTGTCGTAGTTGACTGACTAACTGATTGATTGATTGATTGACTGATTGACCTATTAAGTCAACTCTTCTAAAACAGAATATGTACAAGTATACAACAATGTAAACAATACACTGTAGGAATGTTGGTTTATTACAAGAAATCACCGTTGTAAATTAAACTACAATCTAAAGAAAAAAAGGACGTTTCATTTCTTTAATAAATAAAGTTTATATTTAAAATGAATGAACGTTATAAACGAAATTTAAATGGTATAAAATATTAAATCATTGAATTGAGCTATTTTTATTTCTTACCTTTACAAGTGTACATTTTCTAGATAAAGGAAAGTGATTTATGGGTTGTTTCTGTCCATTAATTGTATTATTATGCATTGTACCAATACTAATAGATGTTGTAGTAGTGCTAGCAATAGAAGTTGTAGTAAATGAATTCGATTTACGTGCAATATGTAATATAACTTTATCTGGATAATGTTGTAACATACGCATTGCTTGTGTTAATGTATGACCATTATGTAATGTAATACCATTTATAGCTAATATTCTATCACCAGGATGTATTAAACCACATTCAGCTCCAGGATCACCAGGATTTAATGAATCAATTAATACTGGTATATCTGGTGCATCATCTGTTCCACAAATAGTAATACCCCATGGACAATTAGATGATTTACGTCGTAATATTACTTGAACAACATTTATATCAGGTTCTAAAGTAATAAATAATTAGAAATACGGTTACGGTCAGGTTTTTTAAATGATAATGTGGATAAAATTGTACAATTATAAAATAACAAATAGTAAGACGTTCTTTTTTCACTCATCTCCAACAAATTCAACTCATAAAAGAAATATTGATAGTTTAAAATGAGCACTATTTTTTGGTGTAATTCAATTTCAATTGAAACAAAAAAAGCAAAAACAAATAAAGATGAATATTGGCTAGCAGTGGAATCCAGGACACACGTTTCGTCCTATTTGGGACTCATCAGCTGGATGTACCTGCATCTCAGATGTGATGTTCTTCTTTGATTTATTTTCAGTCCATTTTTATCTTGAAAAAAAAACAATCACTAGTTCTATGTTCAAAAGTGAATTTTAATACAATAAAAGCCAGTAAACATAATCTAATCAAAGCTAACTATGTTATTGTTTTACTCGATACATGAATTTTTCCAATGGTAAGAAAAATAATGAATGAAATCTACTTTATTGAAAACCATTGATTATCAAGATGGATTCTAGTCAACTACCACGCTTATCATTAGTGATTTTTCCGTAATTGGAAAAAAAGCGTTGAAAACAATGACGCTTATACCATATTGATTTATTGAAATGACCGTAAACTAAGCATATTCGGTTTTGTCAACACGTTCTATAATTTGAATTAGACTACAACTTTCAACTATTCTTTCACGCATACTTTCCATTATCAAACACTAAATTGAATACATAGACAATGATGATTAACATGAGCATTAAAGTTAGAATTTCTTTTCCATTGTTAATTAATGAATGAATTTCAAGAGGATAGAAAACTTTACCAAGAATGATGATCATCTTATTTAAGGTTATTTAATAGTTATTTGTTGATTTGACTTATATATGAATCGTAAAATATGTTCACTAGTAAGTCACCTAAAATATTTTCATAATATAAAATAACATTGATTTACCAAGCAGATATTGGTTGATGTTTAACAAGATGATTCTAATCTAATGATTCTGTATTATATATATATGTAACTAACATTAAAACTCCGCCTGGAGTCCCTCCGGAGGCTACTGCCGGTCCCAAGCCCGGATAAAGGAGGAGGGTTGGGCATGAGGTTAGCGCCCCCATCCCGTAGAAAACTAACTCGCTAAGAAAACGCTAACCAGAAAAAATTATTCAAGTAAGTAACTAACATTAAACGTTGACAGATTCATTTGCGACGGTTTCTAAACTTGTTATTCACAGTTGTTATTAAATTCTTATGTATGGTCAGTTTGTTGTGATTTCAGGAAGTTATTACTCCAACCTTAATAAGTGAATATTTGTTCAAGTACCTATAAAATGTGAAAGTAATTTTCTTACCGATAACGTTACGCTAAATAGAAAAAGAAATTAGGAAAGGCAAGGTAATTATTCTGCTTTGTAGTTTTGATTTTTTTTGTTGATAAAAGTTTCACTTTGATTGTATGTTGTAATGGATATCATATGAAGAGAAATTTTATGCGGAACATAATCTGTAAATTATATGCAAAGATGGATAGTGGCTGGCAATGGAATCCAGGACGCGCATTTCGTCTTATTTAGGACTCATCAACTAGATGTACCCGCATGTCAGAGTTGATATTCACTCTGAGAATCGAACACTTCAAACGTCATTGCGTTATCTACTTAGCTATTGAGTCCTGATCGATTGCAGTCCTAAACATCAATATGAAGATTCAAACAAACAATACCAAGTGAATTTAATAATCTGTAAATGTCATGGCGAGATGAGTCAGAATATGTAGCTTTTTGTCATTGTGTCATAAATTCTTCCTTCCGTTCTCGAACTAGGTGAACTCTTCATCGCTTCAAACATAGTATAGGTATATAATATTACCCTTGTGGGCCAGGGTAATTTTCCATTGGTTTTCAGGAGGACCAGACACCATCCAGACTTTCATGTGACAACCCAAATAGTACAGTTCAATCCCGTTTAACAGGAGAACCAGACACCGTATAAGCTTTAACGCTACAATCTGAATAGTACAACTCAATCCTATGGCTCAGCCACATAGATACCAAGCACCCTGGAGAACCATTTGAACATAGCATGAAAATATTTTCTTTTAAAAAGAAACTAATTTTGACTGTTAATTTTCATTTATTTTATATTGTTAGATAAATAGACATCAGTATAATACAATGTTTAGTAATGCTAATCAAATTCAATTAAGTAATCATAATAGTACTGAAATGTTCAATTTCATTACTTAAACATGACTTGGGATTATCCTTAATTTTGTAGTAACAAAAGTTATAACTTATTTTTCAAAGAGAAATGGTCATGTAAATGTCAAAAGGAAGGTTTTCAAATGTATTTACTTGCAGAAATCACTAATCCAGTTCAAATATCAAATAGTTATGTGTTCTTTATTTAATTTCATTTATTTTTAAGAGAAATAGAATATGGAAAGTGTGAATGCTTTACAGGTTAACCTTCACCTAGATTAATACTTTTATAAATATAAACATTACACAATGTACAGTTATAATTTTCATCATTATCAGGATTAATATGCGTTTGGATGTCATTTATCTATCTATATCTGAATGAAAAATGGAATAACAGTTTTTTTCCACTGTAATCGCTTCATAACTAAATGACGTAACAATGGAGACTCGTTCATCATCTCCACGTTAATTTTAATAAATATACTGAAGCTTTTGTTCAAATGAATAAGAACTCTTATGTACTTTAGTCAGACAGTTGTTATCGACGTACAAATGTAAGTTAGCTCTAATTTCCAATTCCAATCTTTATGACAAGTTGAAATTAATGTGTTGAATGAGAAAGGAATTAAAACAACCTAGTAACAATAATAACGAGAATATTTAAACATTCCAAATGTTTCGAGAAGAAAAGGGTTGTATAAAGGAATACTGGAACCGAGAATCTAGAATACGATGAAGAGGGAATATATCTATGTCACTATGTCTACCCACTGATTGTGACTATCGCGCGGACCTCAACCAGATACTGTATACCTACCAATATAGCTCAGATTGTCGACGATTCCATAAATTGGTATTATGTCACGATTTGCTAATCTCTAGTTTTCTCACAACTTTCTCTTCTACGAACGTTTTGTCTCTTGAAAAAATATTTACGTCTTAAACTGACATCATATAATAAACATCGAAACCAATAGACTACTTAAAGCCTGTTTCTCCTCGGCTTGAGAATTTCCAGCAACTTACAACCATCATCATGTACTGAATAATACTCAAGGACTTTAGGTACAACAATGAAAGATCTGTTCAGTACTCAATAGTACCAGTGTTTCGTTAGTTAATGCCTACTTGTTATGATAATTTTCTTTACATTTAACATTAGTTAACTCATTGAAGAAGTCCAATTGAAAACTGTTTTATTTTAAAATTGATGATATTTTTCAGATAATAAATGAATATATTTCTCATGTTGATATTAACTGATTTTGAAACTATATAAACTTCATACGTATAATTTATTAGTAATGATAAAATATAGTTTTAACCATTATAATGTCTTATTATTAAGTATATCCGATTACTTAATAACTGTGAAATCACAAATGATAACTTATTAGTTTTATCGTAACATTTCGGCTCTACAGAAGGTCAATCGCGGCCCGGATTGCTCAGTGAAAACGTCTCCGACTGTGAAGCTGGGTGACACGGGATCGAATCCGTCAGGGAGCACCAGTTCCCTCAAGATTACAGGTACACCATGCTGAGGATTGACAAGTAGCACGAAACCTAGGTCCAAGTTTTCTTGTTGACTACCTTTAACCACTATCTTATCTCAACACAGTGCACGCAATGTCGAGTCACCTAGACTAGTGGCCACATTGCAACTTAGTCGATAGGATTAGATCTGCACTAAGAAGGACCTGACATACATGGTACTGATTACCACATACAATGATCAATCAATTGAAAATAACATTTCATTCGTTAGAATATCCAGCTACAAAATTGAAAAGTTTTAATGTCTTACACGTTCAACTGATTGCAGTTAGAAGATTATATTTCTTTTTAACAATTTACAACAGTCAATTGGTCGAACTGTAAGCTCAATTTTTCTTATACGACCAGAAACTTTTTCGAATCTTGCAATTTATAAAAATGAGTAATCTTCTTAAAAAAAGATAATTTCTCCACACTACTTACGTGACTACGGTATTTTTGTAAAAACTTAAATTAAAACTATCTTAAACTCTATAAGCAAAGGTTGTTGGTGGCTAGCTGTGGGATCCAGGACGCACGTTTCGTCCTACTTGGGACTCGTCAGCTGGGTGTATTTGCATCCCATAGTTGATCTTCACTCCGTGACTTAAGGCAATATCGAGGCAATCCGAACAGGATGAAATTACGCCAATAAGAGACTAATCGATGAGAAGATCCAAACAAGGAGTACAAAGTGAATCATCTTAAACTCTATTAAAATTATCTCAGACGACTTATAAAAGGTCCAGATGTTCAAATGACGGGTTGATAAAAACGCTATTCATGGAACAAACAAATGTTAAATAATTTTGACAAGTAATTTTTTGGGAAACATTTATTCATCAGAATGCAATATTATACGTACATACATATATTCGTACAAACGGGCATTGAATACATATGCCCCATACATGTCCTGGACCATATGTGCACCATTGGTTTGAAATCAAGGTTTTCCAACTCCCCTAAATGAATCCTCGATATCCACTAACCCGGTTAAAGCACCCGGCATTCGCTTTTCGCCCTCTCAATTTCGTAAACAATACCCCTGCCGCGAGAATGCAGTAAGTAGGACTTTCGTGGCACTGGTTATATACTCGTGGTTATATATATAAATTATAGCCTGAGAGTGACCTAAGAATGGGATTATTTTTGTTTATACCTTATTTAAATCTAAAAAAAATCTGCCTCACGCATCTATAAATTAATTATCTTCCTACGATTTATCCAGCTCATCTTAACAGTGCTTAGTACTAACCTTGACCCGAATTTCAATATCTTATTTTGTTCTACCATTAAATGAGTATAAATTTGATTGATTCGAAATTACAAATGATGTTCATTTGGTGGTTAGTGCAGTTCAAATTAAGCTACGAATAAAAACATTGTTATAAATAAACGGAAAATTGAAATAACTGTTATAACAACACTGATTATGATACGTGTTGCATATTTACCAATCACTGCCTATTTTGTATTGGTTAAAGGCAGAATAGTGAATGGCTTATAATGATGATCTATCAAATTAGTAAATAAGGAAATATCAAACGAATAGATAATATTATTGGTTTATTAAGGGTTTAGGTTTATGAGCTTAACAAAGAAATGTTATGTTTATTGTTCATTACTAAATACCAGCTCTTAATATTATGAACGTTCCACTCACTATTTTCCGTGCCACATCTTAAATCCTAATACTATGACAATTTATTTTCTATGAGATGTTACAATATAACTCCATGTTGTTCACCGTACCTAGCTATAATGTCAGGATGTATAAAGCGACCATCCTCTTCCTTATTATCCTTGGTGTTTACTACTAGAATTTTATGAAGGAGATAATTTTCTTAGTTATAACAGTGTCAATTAATACTCACTTACCCAATGAATAATCTGATTTAGAATTCATGAATTGTTTAGGCTGATTATCGAACTGATTTTGATTTAGTTCATCTTGGTTAGTTCTTTGACTCTTGACATTTTGAAATTGATGAAATCGGTGTGTATGATCTTGCACTGTTGGACTATTACTGGTACCAGTTGGATATCTATATAATTTCTCAGAATCTCCTAGATCACTGGGAAATAATTTTTCAATTGGACACTGTTGTACTACAAGAGAATGCTGTTGTGGTTGATGATGGTGGTGATGATGTTGATATGATTTGCGTGCTGATTGATTATGAGAAAATGATGATGCAGATGAAATATTATTGTCTGATAATTTCTTTGTTTCCTCATTTGAATTATCTCTGCTGTTAGTATCTTCATTTTGAGGTGTTCTAAACTGTGTTTCTGGTTTTAAACACTTATTCATTAAATTTTCATCAAAACTTTTTCGATACAACTGTTTTCTTTGATGTTGATGTTGGAGTTGTTGTTGTTGTTGTCTGTCATAGAGATAATCATGTACAACCGAACTATCAGAACCATATTTTATTTCTAATTCTGTTTTTGATGAATAAGTATCCATTTTTTGTATTCTCAATATTATTATATCATCATCTGGTGATTGTAAAAGTTGTATCGCCTCAGAAAGACTACATGATGAAAGATGAATACCATTCACAGCTAATAGTATATCACCTGGATTGATAGAACCACTACGACTTGCAACACTACCAGGAATCACTTTACTAATTAATAAAGGTTGTCCAGATGTTTTATTGATTGACGCTATTAAAAAAATAGTAAAAAATAAATGGAAATATAATAGAAATCAGTAGTTTATTATTTGTTTGAGAACACGAATCGACCAAACTTAGGCCACTATTGAAAACCTAAGAGAACTTGACGGCCATTTAACTGCGAATGAATGAACGAATATTTAACGACAATTAACGACAATATAATTAAGTGTTTAAAGGTGATGCTCTATCGTAATCTTTAAAATACCAGAGATAGACATATATTAGACGCATACAATCCAGATTTATTTTAATTATTTTTGAGGTTATCTGTTTTCTATCAAATGAGATATTATTTCATTTTAATAGTTGAGATCATGAGTCAGTTGAAGCTAGATCACCATGGAAAACCTGGAAGCACTGAATGGCTTTTTCATCCTATTGTAGGACTCCTCAGCATTGCACATCCACGATCCCGCCTCACGAGATTCGAAGCCAGAACCTATAGGTCTGCTAAGGAGTCCCACAATAGGACGAAACGGCCGCCCAGTGCTTCGAGCTTCAATTAACTCATGATCTCAACTATTAAAATTACAATAATATCCACAAAACCCCTTCTAATATTATTTCATTTGTTAAGTGTTAAATGCCCATTCTACTAAAGAATAAAATCTGTCAGTGGTATATATTTAATCATTTAACTGTCTTAGTAAAACTAAGTGTTGATCACTAATAATGCACAAATATTTTTAGTCGTCTCGTGAACATACAAATTTGATTAATCTTAAACTTACATTGATAGAAACTATGTTGTATTGAATGCCACCAAAACATTCAATAAAATGTATCGAGTAAAGGAAATACACTTCATCAGTATTTAATACGAATTATCCTCACGAACACATTATGTTTTATAGTATTAAAATTGTGACTATAAAGCTCTCAGTCGAAAATCTTTATTTTAGTGTTGAGAACTGTTACCCTTTTGCCTCTCTTAAACTTACGAACTTGTATGAGAGAGAGATTGTTTATCGACATCTGATCGATGATAGGTACTCAGCAATTCTCAATTTCTTTTGCAGTATTGCTAATCATCATGAGTCTATGACGAATATGAAATGTGATTTACAAAACTAGTAGTCCTCATTAAAATCATTCATTCAATGGAGTTTTATTAGAACATTTAAACAAAAGATAAGATAATACTGATTTCCAATTCTATTCTAAACTGTAACACTGGGACGCAGGCAAATTTAGTTGATCAATTCTAAATAAGGATTAAATGCGCATCCTGGATTCCAGTGCTCAACATAATCTATATGTTCCATTAAACTTGCAAAATGATTATATTGAGGCCATTTGCTCAGGATGTACACATATACCAACAAAGACTGATCTGTTTAAACTCTTATTATTAATGATTCAGAACATAAAATAGTCATTTAAAGCAAAGCAAAATAGTACCTACTCAAATAGGATATAATGTAACTGACGAAGAATTGTTTCAGCTCACCTTGAAGATTAATACCTAAACTAACCGATCTTCTTATTAATTTGACATCAAAAATGCCCGTTGCAGGAACCACTGAATCTGCTACAGTATACTGTATCAAAAGTGTTAATGATTGAACACGAAAGTATTTCTTTTCAAAATCAGTTGGTTCTAAATATCTTTGAATTAATTCATCAATAGTTCTATTTAATGTAGATTGACCATTAATACATATTACTCTATCACCTTCTTGAATAACGCCAGATCTATAAACACAATATAAAATCCAATCACATAAATGTTCTTTTAGAAAACAATAATTCTTGTTTGAATACTTATTAGTCGTAATATATAAGTGATATACTAATAAAATTACCAATGATAATTGGGCCGCTTAATTGAATGCTCAAACGTCTTGGAATTAATTAATAAACTTGAATATAAACAGTGACCCTGTCCATCAAACATACATGTTTCTGACATTTACTTATTATTTATTGGCGTTATTACATATCTAATTCAATACTGGCTTTGACTAACTTGTGAAATTAATAAAAACTCTCAGTTCCTTTTTACTAGATTTCAATAACTATAGTTATCAAGATTATTTGTTGTGCTATAGCTCTATATTGATTGTTGAGGTTGATCTTTTGCATCATGGACTTATTTGAGTTTGATAAGTAATTGAAAACTAGAAAACAATGGAAAGCTGTTTTACATTAGATGGTGGTTGGAGATAGTCGACAGGAAACCCTGGACCCGAGTTTCGTGTTACTTGGCACTCGTCAGCAAGGTGTACCTGTAATCTTGAGGGAATTGGTGCTCCCCGACGGATTCGGTCCCGTTTCACCCAGCCTCACAGTCAGAGACGTTACCACTGAGCTATCCGAGCCGCGACCAACCTCCTGTAGGACTGAGATATAATCACAATTGATTGATCGCTGGGTGGTGATCAATGTCATGTGTTTCAAGTCCTTCTTAGTTCAGATTGAATGCTATCGACCAAGTTGCAATGTGGCCATTAGTCTAAGTGACTCGACACTGGGTCCAAGGTTTCCTGTCGACTACCTCCAACCACCATCTAATCTCAATGTAGTGCATGCAGTATCGAGTCACCTAGACTAGTGGCCACATTGTAACTTAATCGATAGCATTCGATCTGCACTAAGAAGGACTTGACACATATGACATTGATCACCACCCAGCGATCAATCAATTGTGAAAGCTGTTTTATAAAATCAATAGCAATTTATGATTATGGTACAATATCTCGAATTGATTGTGATATGAAGCGTAATGTATTACTTATGTTTCAATCAATTAATTGTTACGTTTGACGTAATTTCATCTGTAAAATGTAGTAATGAAGAATAATTAATTGAGATTGGTTGCAATAGACATGAATGTGAAAAATATTTTAGTCAAATGTTTTAGGATAAACAATAAATTAGTGTCTCGATTGAACAATGAGAAGACAGAGTGTGATCTGAAAAATGTGATGTATTTGCGCTATACATTTCGAATAATCTGGTCACACATGTATAGCGCAAATACATCACATTTTTCAGATCAACTCCGTCTTTTCATTGTTAAATCAAAATTTATTAAAGGGACTAATTCCTTTAAATAAATTAGGGACTTAAGGCTATATCGAGGCAAACCGCATAAGATGCACATATGCCAACAAGAGACTGATCAATTGCAATCCTAAATAACAATGAGTAGATACAAGTAAAACAACGTCAAGTGAAAATAACTTAGTGTATTTAAGATTGAAACAAAAAGTTTTAAATAAGTGAGCAATGAAATTTCATTAATTTCGAGGAAATATTCAGTAACAACTACTAATACCATCCATTTTAATTTGTTCAGTCTGCTGATATATTCTGACTAAGAGACATGTTCGCTTACGATAAGCAAAAGGGATAAAAGCAATCAGTTTGGGTAATACAAAAAAACGAAGGTTTCAATAGACAGAGTTAGCTAACATAAATCAAGGTTAATCTACACTAGTGAATATGATAAACCAATCGATCTAGTTTCATTGAGCAACTAGTTATGTAAAGCACTATTGCAAATGAAAATTAACACACAAATGAACCAAACACTAAACAAAGTACATTGTGTATAAAAATGATTGAAATTTGCTTTGATAGTGTTTGCCCTTTATTTTCAACATTACCACAATCTTAGTTCAACAGATTTTGTTAACCTTCGGTTAAGCAAATGAACCAAAATAACAAAAATTAAGTTATTTCACGGATGCATTGTTTGCGTTCACTAAACACCATGAATTGACGCTAATAAACTCAAAATACTAAGCCATTATTTGTAACAAAACATACATCTCACTTAAAACAGAATGTATATACTTTCATTTATAGCCATGATTAAGTTTGGTTCATTTTGCATTGATTGTTTGAATCTTCCCATAGATGTTTAGGACTGCAGTTGATCAGTCTTTTATTGACATATATGCATCTTGTTCTGATTGTCTCGATTCGCTTTCAATCACGAGGATTATAAGCAGAGACGATGTGGCTAACAGTAGAATCCAGGACGCGCATTTCATCCTACCCGGGACTCGACAGCTGGATATACTTGCATCCCAGAGTTGGAGTTCACTTTGGGACTCAAACCCAGTACAACATTAGTTAATCTCCATGAATTCTCTTTCTAGCTGCAGATAAATGGTTCTCTGTAAGCGATTGTAACTGCGAACGTCTACAGTCTCTGTTGACAATACCTGCCTTTGTGATAAAATTATTAGATTCTCATACATTGATATCGCGAAGACCTTTCTGCAAACATCTGGATTAATGATTTTACCGTGTACAATTATTCCTTAATCATACCAGCCAGCTGTACTAATAATAGTATTAGCATTTTGTCATAACAACATAAATGTGTACTGTGACTAGACGCAATTACTTCAAAAATATGATCACAAGGGTATGAGACTGTCAGATAGGTGACATTATAATGTTTAAAACGTCTTCCCCATTATTAGTGAAGTTATAAAAATATATATCTATAGATCACAATGACTTTTCTATGTCATTCAACTTAGTTAAGAGTGAAAATTATATTAAGACTCATTGATCTTGTAAATGAATACAACTTCACCATTAAGACTGACAGTATCGTATTACCTAAACATTTTAGCGCTAACTCCAACCAGGTAGTCTGTACCTCCTAACTTGTTTAGTTTCATTGGTCAATAACTTTATAGATTGACCTCATATCCCGGATTTAACAAAGTTATAACATCTCTTCCGATCTATTTTTTACATTACAATAACAAAATGAGATATGTCAGTGTTGACCATGTCCAGGACAATATCCTATATATTCCGATACATGAAGCTTTACAACTATATATTCAGTATAAGTAAATTCAATCAAGATATTCTTTATTTTCTTTCGAATCATTTCATCAACTTCATTATCATATTCATTTTTATATTGGACCTATTCAGTTCAAATTCTCACTGACATATTATCAATAGAAATATATCATCTATTTCCATATAAGGCATAACTCGGTTTTTGCATAAATCAATAGCAAAAATGAAAAAAAGTAGATAATGAAGTTGGCTTAATTTTATTTTCTTAACATTTTAGTCAAATTAAATTTTGTTATCAATGAGATAAGACGAAGAAACTTAGACAATTTAACGAGTGACATTATAAGTCTTTACATACCGAAATAACATCATTATAAGTGTTATGCACACTAAATATATCTTTTGATATAAGTAGTATATAACATAGAATTGGCAAAGCAAGGGCCTCATTCCTACAATTGAACAAAATATAGAATTCAAAACAACTTTCAACCAATATCGAAGTCCGAATCTTCAATACGAACGTCAGTTCTACAGTACGGAGCTGGAACTTGGAGAACTACTACAACCATCATTAAGAAGGTACAAGTATTTATAAATAGTTGTCTACGCAGGTTACTCAACATCAATTGGCCGGATACCATCAGTAACAGCCTTTTGTGGGAGAGAACAAACCAACTCCTAGCTGAGGAAGAAATTAGGAAAAGACGTTGGAAGTGGATATGACATACAATACGCAAATCAAACTGCATCGCGAGGCAAGCCCTAACTCGGAATCATGAAGGGAGGCGGAAAAGAGGAAGGCCAAAGAACACATTATGTTGGGAAATAGAAGCAGATATGAAAAGGATGAATAACAACTGGAAGTAGTTGGAAAGGACTGCCCAGGACAGGGTTTGATGGATAATGTTGGTGAGTGGCCCATGCTCCTCCACGAGGAGTAACAGGCGCAAGTAACTACGTAAATAAATATGTAACACAAATCAGAAGTTGAATGCATAGCAGTAGAAGGCTTAAAAGGTTAAGTTGAAGAAAACAACAATGGAAATAGAAAAGAACTATAAATATGGAGAATCATATAGAATGTGAAGGATAAGTGATGGAAGATTTGCAAATGGAGTATTTAATATATGTTTCTAATTACTTCATCAAGATGTTCTTTACTTTTATATTAAACACTACCATTAGCTGTCTCCACTTGAATCTTCATTCACAAAATAAGTTAATATTACTTTCTATAAGAAACTCATAGTAAAAAAAACTTGAGTTTCTCACTTCACTAATACAAAAAAACAAATCGACTAAACTAATTCTAAGTGATTCGAATTATTTATTTTATCAACCATTAAAATTACTATAATATCCACAAAATCCCTTCTGATATTAATCAACATATTCTCACTAGTGACGGTCTCCAAGAGGTATTTCCTGGATTTCTAGTGAGAAGCAGTGACCAGTGGATTTCAACCAGATCTGTTGTGAGTTAGTAACTCACTGATGACAATAGTGGATGCGCGGCTCAATTTCGTGGATTAGTTGAAATTAAACACTAACGCCGTTGAATGCCGGCTCAGTAATCTAATGATTAAGCACGCGCGTGCTCACGAAACTGATAGGTCCTAGGTTCGAATCTCGCGAGGCGGGATCGTGAACGCGTACTACCGAGGAGTCAGAGGTTTTCTATGGTGGTCTAGCTTTAATTGACTCATGATCTCAGCTATTAAAATTATTTATTTTTTATCTTCACAATAATGAAATTAGGCAAGAGATAATGGTAAATAATAGTAGCAAAAAAATAGAATATACAATTCATATTTTTGAGAATATGTGGTCAATTTCAAAAGAAACCAGAAATGAATTTCTTCTTATCTGTAACTATATTAGTTCAAGTTTGTTTTTTTGTTTTTTTATTAAATCAA